AGAGGAAGAGATCTGGAAACAAGTGCTATCTGAAAACAAAAAAGGCATCAATATAATTTTTTGTTTAAAAGTATAAGAGCCTTAAATAATTTAAAAGCAGCAAACACCAGGCTTGGCCATCTTGTCTTTCTTAAGAGTCTTGAATATAAGATACTAAAACTAGCATGAAGACAAGAGGGGAAAATAGCATTATCGAATTACATGATCAAAAAACACTTTCATAAAAACAGTAAAATATTAAGAACAGACACAAGGACACTTTAGAAAGAAATCATAAATATATTTAAATTTTAAAGGAACATCTCTAGAGCTATTTGTCAATGACACTGGTGATTCTGGCTCTTGCCTTTGGTCGCACAGGCGCAGGTCTACAATAATGCAAACAAAATATCCGGTGGTAACAGGAAGGACAGATTGGGAGAAGAGCTGAGAAGACCTGTATGTAATAAGGCCACTCCAATACTGCAAGCAGATGAAGGCAGTAAGAAAAGGAAGCAAAGAGGAAGTGATGCTCTCACATAAAAGCTATTTGGTAACTTGCCTGGATGAGAAGAGGGTCAAAGATAACAAAGATTTCAAAGGGAGTCTTGGTAACAAAAACAGTGGTCAGAAAGAATCTCAGCTTGCAAAGAACCGGTAGGAATACATGTGCAGTTTAAGGAAGGTATGCAAACTCCAGGCTATGAAACCATATATCTTAATTAAGAACCAATCCTAATGCAAAACTTGAGATTTATAAATCAGCTGCTTGAAACTGAAGTAATGTTATGAATGGAGGTCAGTCGCATATAAAAAGCTTGTTTACAAAAGCATAGAGCTAAGAGGTCCAAGCTGTCTTTGAACAAAAATCTCTTTACAATATAGGGAGCAACAACACAGTGGAAAAAGTGATAGATTTACAACGAAAACTAAGAACCCTACCTTCAAATAACACTTTTGACAATTGCTATTATGACCCTTGGTAAATCATTTAATGTCTCCTTAACCACAATTCTTCTCTCCCCCATCTGTTGATTAAAAACCCACCACTCAAATCTCAGATACGCCACTGTGTTTTTCAAATGATGTCTTAAGCTTCTGGAAGGTTTCCCCAAAGCACAACAGGTTTACACAAAGTAGGTTAGGCACTTACTATCCTGCTGTGTACTAGAGGCTAGTTTTATGACTTTGGCAAATTACTTCTATACTGTGGGAGGCTCAGTCATGATATGTAAGATCATATTCAATTCTGAAATTCTCTGTTGTGAATATTTACTAACTTGTGGGTAGAATAATAAAGAATTTCAGAATCTAGAAGCAAAGAGACTACAAATTCTCAAAACAATGCCCCTACTCCAGCTTCCAAACTAAAAAATCTAGAATAGACCAATTTTACTTCCCACATCCCGTCACGTACAACCTTAGAAAGAAAACGTAGCTCAGAATCCTCTTGGAGGGAGGTGGTTTTACCAAAGTCTTCTGGGCAAAATGGTATTTTACAAGAAATAAAGCAGTGCAAGTCACAAAAATAATTACTCCTCTTTACCCAACCACTATTTTTCTCTTGGGCATATATTAGTTCAAAGATAAATAACAGTGCATGTTTTAATTGAAAAACAAAAACAAAACTAGACATCACCTTAGTAATTTGCTCAAAGACAAAAGAAAGCAGCGAAACAGAATACATGACTATGACCATAAAATAAAACTGGCTAATGGAGAATGGAAGGGAATGTGTGTGTGTGTGCGCGCGCGCTTGCATGTGTATAAAACCATCATAGCTATTTTGTACTTACATAGAAATTGTGAGGCTAGAAGAAAAATGTGGTACTCCGTAGAAATGACCCATTTAAACCAGGCTTGTCTATTTAAATACCCTCCTACTCCCAATGTTTGTATTGCCTATCTCTCATCATTAGTCCTGAGACTAATTATTAATTAATAATTATTAATGAATTAGTCCTGACAGAAATTATCTCTGCTACTCTACCAGCTCAGTTACCTAAAGAGCACTAAGGTATAAATACAATAATTTTCAAAAGTTCTAATTGTAGCTTCTCTATTTCATAAAATGTCATTATCTACACAAGGAGTCTTGCTATTCGAGGACCACCGTTTTATTCAGAATATAAGCTTTTTTGAGTTTTGTTTCTTTTCTGTCCTTATATTCCTAGGACCAACAACATAAAAATCAACCAATCGGTACTTAAGGCTTATGTACCAGGCAAGTTGCTTACACTGTAATGGGAGGGAGCACACATAAGAAATACATAAAGAGAATAAAGGCATAGTAGTTAGAAAGAGAGCAAGGTATGGTATGGAAGGCTGTAGGAAAGAGGTTTAGAAAAGCTTGTAGGGATTAAGACAGGTAAACAATTAGAGAAGACTTAAAGGATTTTCATGCTGCAGCAAGGGCCCAGTTGTATAACATGAAAATATGCTGTACCAGTCACAACCATTCAACTTCAGCTACCTTCACTCAGGAGCATGAAGGAGCAGAGGAAATGAAGAGCAGCAATAATCCCAGCTGGGGTCTGGTAAGGGATAAGTGGCAACAGGACAACAAGACAAGAGGATTTCTGAGTTGATAACTCTGTGTGGTTGAAATCATTTAGAGTGGAGACTAGGA